TACAAACTATAGTAGCAAAAATGGCATGGTATTGGCACCAGAATAGACATGTAGACCAATGGTACAGAATAGAAGACACATAGACAAACCCAGATAAATACAGTTATTTCTTACTAGACAAAGATGCGAAAAACATACATTAGAGAAAATATGGCCTCTTCAACAAATGGTGCTGGGGAAACTGGAAATTCATATGCAGCAAAATGAAAATAAACCCTTATCTCTCACCATGCACAAAACTCAATTCAACGTGGATCAAGGACCTAGTAATTAGACAAGAGACCCTATGCCCAATAGAGGAAAAAGTAGGCCCAAATCTTCATCATGCAGGATTAGGCCCCGACTTCCTTAACAGGACTCCTAAAGTGTAAGAAATAAAATCAAGAATCAATAAGTGGGATGGAGTCAAACTAAAAAACTTCTTCTCAGCAAAAGAAACAATCAATGAGTGAAGAGATAGCCTACATTTTGGGAGCAAATTTTTGCCACACACATGTTAGATAGAACACTAATCTTAAGGATATATAAAGAACTCAAAAAACTTAACACCAAAAAAACAAACAACCCAATCAATAAATGGGCTAAGGAGCTGAACAGACACTTCTCAGAAGAAGATATACAGTCGATCAACAAATATATGAAAAAATGTTCAACACCTATAGTAATTAGAGAAATGCAAATCAAAAATACTATAAGATTTCATCTCACACCCGTCAGAATGGCAGTTATGAACAATAAGTGATGGCGAGGATGTGAGGGGGAAAAGGCACACTCATACATTGCTGGTGGGACTGCAAATTGGTGCAACCAATCTGGAAAGCATGTATGGAGGGAGATTCCTTTGAAAACTTGGAAAACCACCATTTGACTCAGGTATCGCACTCCTCGGTCTACATCCAAAGGACTTAAAATCAATATATTATAGTAACACAACCAGATCAATGTTTATAGCAGCTCAATTCACAATAGCTAAACTATGGAACCAACCTAGATGCCCTACAATAGATGAATGGATAAAGAAACTTGGTATATATAACCAATGGAATATTACTCAGCATTAAAATAGAATAAAATTATGGCATTTTCAGGTAAATGGATGGAGTTGGAGAATATCATGCTAAGTGAAGTAAGCCAATCACAAAAAACCAAAGGCCAAATATTCTGATAAGTGGATACTGATCCATAATGGAGGGGTGGGGGAATGGGGAAAATGGAGGAACTTTGGGCAAAGGGAGAGAGGGTGGGGAGGAAGTATGGGGGCAGGAAAGATGGTTGAATGAGGCGGACATTATTACCCTAGGTACATGTATGACTGCACATATGGTGTGACGCTACATCATGTACAACCAGAGAAATGAAAAGTTGTGCTGCAATTGTGTACAATGAATCAAAATTCATTCTGCTGTCATATATACATAATTATAATTAATTAATTAAATTTTTAAAAGAAATAAAATATTTTTGTATACTTACAAAAGATTATCACTTGAGGAACTAGAATTCTTGCATCAAAGTGTGTGGACATTTAAAGTTTTACTAGTGTAACCAAATTGATCTCCAGCGTGGCTATATAGGTTCAGCACTGGCAATAATAATTTTTTTTAATATTTGCCAATCTGGTGGGTCAAAAATATACTCACTCTTCTTGCTAAGGGTTGCTTTGGCTATAAGCAAGATTTTGATTTGCATTTCTTAAATTATATGTAAGGCAAAACGACTTTTTGTTTGCTTATAGTATACTTGTACCTGGTTTTCTGTGAATTGCCTACTTATCTTTCTTGGCCTGTCTATCATTTGAGCATTCTATCTTTTTTGGCAAATGTATATTAAGTTCCTATTATGTGAACACTGTGCTGAGCCTTAGAACTGTAACAATGAATAAACACCACAGTCTTTGCCCTTTTGGAGCTTACAATGTCCTGGGAAATAAACATTAATCAAATAGTTATGCGGATAGATTTATATGCAAACTGAGTTAAAGACCTTGAAGGAAGCCTCTTGCATCTCATAGAGCATACCAGGGAAGATGCAGGCTGGATAGGATGGGAAAAAACCTCCCCAGGACAGCCAATATCTAAGGCCCCCGGACAGCCAATATCTAAGGAATGAACAAGATTTGGAGTTGGCGCAGAATTTTCAGAAAAAATGAGACAGCATTGTGGAGAAAACATGATGTCTTTGATGAGCTGATATAGTAGAACAGAGCACAGAGAGACAGAGGAGCCTGGGGCTACATCAGTTAGGTATATAAAATAACTGGGCTTGCTTTATTTTTACCCCTGAGATTTAATGAAAGTCATTCAAGGAGCTTAAGCCATAGTTGGTCATCCAATCTGAATTCTGAAAAGAATTTAAAAATCTTATCTGGCTGAGAAGAAGAAAATAGGAAGAACAATTAGAAGGTTCTTGAATGAGTCTGAATAAGATGTAAAAGTATTTTTGCCCTGAATTATAGAAGTGGACATGAAGAGAAGTAGATGGTTCAAGCAATATGGAGGAGATTAAATAAAATCTTTAAGATGGATTAGATACAAAAGGTTAAAAAGAGAGACTGGGCCTATGATATTTCCTGAGTTTCTGGTTAGATGGATGATGATACATTTCCTGGGATCAGAAACTGAAAGGTCCAGCTGGGTTCAGCCTTAAGACACCCAAATGAAGCTGTCAAGAAGGCAATTAGATGTAAAAGTCTGGGGCCAGAGGCAAAGTCTGGGAACTAAATTTGGAAGTCACTGGCATATACTAATTAAAGCCTTGGCATAAATGAAATTGCTCAGAAAAGGAATTCAGTGCCCATGACAAGTCTACTCTTAATCCTAAGGAACTCTAATACTTAGTGGCTACATAGAGACACAATGAAACAGAAAACAGGAGACTCAGAGCAAGAGGAAAGCAGGCTGAGTGCAGGTCCCAGAATCCAATGGGAGAGTGTTGCAGTCGAATGAAGCAGAGCTCGAGGCTGCTCCTCCATCTAGGAAGATGAGACCCCAAAAATAACCATTGGGTTTAACAGCATAGAGGCCTTGGTGACATTCATTTGAATTTTTTCAGTGAAATAATGGGGGCATTATTTTTAATTGTTTTAATTAAAAAAAAAAAAAACAGTTTCAAACCTGTCCCTCCTCCTCTTCACCCCTGACTCTTCTTTGCCACTCAAAAAGCTGAATTGGTTTTATAACACAGTATTCTGAGCTCCCAGATTGGAGATAGTTGGGGAATTGGTGGGAAGTGTAGAAATGGCAGCACTGTCTGGACCACTCTCAAGAAATGTGGTTCTTTAAAAAAAAAAAAAAAAAAAGTTTTAATTAAAAAAAAAAGTTTCAAACTTGTCCTTCCTTGTCTTCACCCCTGACTCTTCTTTGCCACTCAATAAGCTGAATTGATTTTATAACACAGTATTCTGAGCTCCCTACCTGTGCTCTCCCAGTATCCATGGCAACCAGCCAGCTAAGGGTGGCATGTGCAGGGGAAGATATCTGAGTTTGGAGACCCTTCTGCACCCTCATGAAGCTTCTGCCGGTGCAGGTCTGGTCTCTCGGAAGACCCATCATAGAAATGCTACTGAAAGTGGATTTAACAAAGAAAGAATCCTTTTATTTGTGATACCTACTGAAAGATTTAAGGATAAATAAGACCTGGAATTTGCAAAGTGAAACAAGATAAGCTATGAGTTGGTCATTGTCGAAGCTTGTTGATGCATATGTAAGGATTTATTGTACTATTCTCTCTGCTTTTATGAACAAAATTTTCCATACTAAATTATAAAAAGTTAAATTAAGTATTCTGTAAAATGAAGGTACAAGGAGCCAGTGGCCATCCTGGGGCCACTATGTATATGGCTTTTAAAACTGGAACATCTTGGGGCTGGGGTTGTGGCTCAGTGACAGAACACTTGCCTAGCATATGTGAGGCACTGGGTTCAATCCTCAGCATCACATTAAAAAGATAAATAAAATAAAGGCATTCTGTCCAACTATTTAAAAAAACAACTATTAGGGGCTGGGGATATGGCTCAAGTAGTAGCGTGCTCGCCTGGTATGTGTGAGGCACTGGGTTCAATTCTTAGCACCACATAAAAATAAAATAAAGATATTGTGTCCACCTAAAGCTAAAAAATAAATATTTTTTTAAAAAACAACTATTAAAAAAAATTAAAAATGGGTACATCTCTCAGCCCAATCCACCATTGGCTTGCTAGTCTCATCATGTCAGATGTATCTGAGGAAATTCTTTCTTCTCCACTGATCTAAACACCTTGTTCCTTGCCCCTTTTCTCCTTTATCACCTGCTTCCTGAGTGTGGATTTCAAAGCACAGATCTGTCACTCTGGTCCTGGTGAACTTTAACAAGTCCCCTCGCATCTCTGAACCCATATCTGAAAAAATGAGAATAAGTCTGCTTAGCAATGTTATAAAACTTGCTGGTCTACATAATATTTGCTGTGTCAGAGTTTTAGAAATATAATTAATTGCATTGTGATTATTTCTTCAACTCTACAGTTCTGTGTCCATTCCTCTTGGGTCTATGTAGTGGACTAGAAATTACATTGCTAAGCAGCAATGTGTAAAACTTCCCAATTCTCAAATTGAGGTTTATTAAGAAAGAAAGAAAGACTACATAAGCCACATCAAGCCCATCTACTGGCTAAAATCAGCGACTGGGTGGCCCACATGCAACCTCTCACCTAGATAATGGCATATAATACAACTTAGTTGCCCTTCTCCCTCTTTTTGTCTCCCACCCCTAACTTTCTTCTTTCCTTCTCCCTTTCTGCATCCTTTTCTCCTAACCACTCCCATCCTTCGGGCCTATACTAAGTCCAAGTGGTAGAGGGAAACGGAGCCGGTTAAAGACGGCGCCTGGTCCTGGTCAGGTGTGTGGAAGAACGCGGCACAGAGAGGACCATGACAAAACCCTGGACGGAGGAATAGGCCAGCAGCTGGGGAGGTGAGTTCAGTTTCTGGAGGACTGATCTGAGGGACTCTCGTTTTTCTCCACAGCCTTACGAAGTCGTTCTGGCCGCTCCATCATCAATGGGAACTGGGCGATTGACCGTCCTGGAAAATATGAGGGCGGAGGGACCATGTTCACCTACAAGCGTCCCAATGAGATCTCGAGCACTGCTGGCGAGTCCTTTTTGGCCGAAGGTCCCACGAACGAAATCTTGGATGTCTATGTGAGTATAGATGGTTCTGGGCTCTTCTCGAGATGTTGTATCTGGTTGCTTCCAAAGAACACACTTAGGGCAAATAATCAATAAATCATTCCTCGGGCTCAATAAAATCATTTGCGTGGAGCTGGTTGGAGGTACCCCTTCAACGCTTGGCACTCATCGCTGTCATTTACCCCTGAATGTACCCCGCTCATAGAAACTTTAAACTCTACCAGATGCTTGGTACTCTGAGTTTATTGACCCAGTAAAACCAATTTTACTTGTTGAACCAAATCAGAGGCAAACATATCCTTTGTTTCATGAGCACTGGATCTCCTCCAGGCACTTCCCTCCTAACGCTAATTTGGCATGTTTTCTTTTCACGGCAAAAGAAAGCAAATGTCAAATGCAAGACCGCTCCCAGCTCCCAGCCCTCTTCAAACTCTGCTAAAGCAAATGAAGAATCCAGCGCTCCAGACCCCTCCAGATGAAACGATAAAGCTTAGAGCAACAGTCTTGAGGTTTACTAGAAGTTCCCCGCTTCACAAAGGAGAACTGTGATCTACTTTATTTAAAACTAGAATATCAAGTTGCCAAACAGTTTTAAAAGTCCCTGTTTTTTTAAAAGAAACAACTAGAATCCAGTCTCCTGAAAAGATCAGGAAATAAAGGGTGACCAGAAATAAAAGCTTAAAATTATGTTTGGATAAAAAGAATGAGCTCACAAAAAAAAAAGAAAAGAAAGAATGAGCTCACCAATAAATATACATACTCTGTCCCCAAAGCCTTGCTGGTCTACATAACATTTGCTGTGTCAGAGTTTTAGAAATATAATTAATTGCATTGTGATTATTTCTTCAACTCTACAGTTCTGTGTCCATTCCTCTTGGGTCTATGTAGTGGACTAGAAATTACAAAGAATGCCTTGTTACAGTCAATCTGGGTGTTTTTTTTTTTTAAGCTATCCACTTGGTGGGTTCACTCTGGTTAAATTTGAAACGGTATCAGAGACTGGGGTTGTGAAAGGCCTGCTGTGGGTGGTCTTGGAAAGGCGGCCAACAATAATTTCATAAACAGGACAAGGCTTGGACTGGCAGAAGAGGCACGAGAGGAATGGGGGCAGTAACAGAGTGTGTAGGTGACGGGGATAGGGTAGAGAGCAGGAACCCACAGTCACACAACTGTGTCCTTCAGGGCTCTGTGCTCACTACCACATTCCCACACAACACCCATGAGTTGGGATGGGTGCGTGGTGTAGGAAACCCAGTGCTTTTCATGTCTGCCTACCTCTGGGTGACTGATGGGATGGAGACCCACTCCACAAGGAGGCAGGGGGTGAGAGATGATGGCATGATGACATAAACAGGAAGGACAGGCACAGGACCCCCCCACCCCCTCACACTCCCCACACCGGTTCTGGAGCCAGTCAGCAGTACCATAGGAACACAGGACCTAAGAAACCAACTGTGACTCTCACCTCCTCTTTTCTCCAGATGAAGAAATCAAAAACTGTTGGATTCAGAGACTTGCTCTAGATCACAGATGGCCAGATAGACAGCCACTTCATCAAACATGGCAGCGTCTCCTTGCTTGGCTCAAATACTGTAAATCCTCATTCTGTTGCTTCATTGAGCCCAAGCCCTGCCTCCCCTGGTGACAGCAACGGGCATTAGGACTTTGTGCTTACTCCACAGGCCCTGCTCACAGACGTTGTGTTTCCATCCCAGATACTCTTCCAGGGCTGACTTCCAGTAGCTTCCTGCTTGCTGTCCTGTCTCTTTGTCACTGGTTCCTGAAAGAATATGACCCAAGAAGACTTACTTCCCTTATGAACCATTTTTCTGATCCCATCTCTTTGTGATTCTAGAACTTTCCATAAATGAAAAAGGGGTGGGGTGCAGAAAGCCAACAAGGGATAGATTGAGCTAGTCTCTCTGACCAAGTAGAGGACTTTAAAGAAACTTAATGCTCCAGGTCTGCTCTACCAAGGAGGTTTCATCCTTGTTTGTATGTCTCACCACCTAGTGTTCAAACAGGTTCTCCTGCAGCGGAGACATATTTATCTATGTGGAACATATAGGGAGCATGGAGCAAATGCAAAGCCATGGCCTAGAATGGCTGGCAGCCAACAGAAAGGTTCTGCTTCCTATGTGGTATTTATAAAATCTTGACTCTCAGCCTAGTTTGCTTCTGATCTGCTCAAGAATCAAGTTCTTCGTTCTTCAAATGATGAGAAGCCCTCTGGAAATAGCTTGGTTTCATCTGCCACAGGGTCACTAACATTACTAGATGTGAATGAACCTTCTCATGTGGCAATACACCACTCGTACTATTGTAACCCAGGTCAGCAGGAAAGGGGACACACATGTGTGCCACAGCAGTGACACTGACTTTTCTGCCATCAGATGATACACCAGCAACCCAACCCAGGAGTCCACTATGAGTATGTCATCATGGGAACCAACGCCATCAGCCCACAGGTGCCACCTCACAGGAGACCAGGTAAAATCCCTTGTTTTACCAAGCACTGGGACACTTCCTTTTAAAGGCCTCTCCTCTTCTTGCCTCCTCTCTCTGTCTCTTGCTCTCTTTGTCAACACATAGAAAAACATGATCCCACGTTTCAAAGTCAGTGGGCCTTACTATCGCAGCATGATTCACCACTGGTGTAAGCCTTACTGATAAGACCATTTTGTTCACTTGATTCAAAAACAAGGTGAACATCCAGGTCTGCCTTTCTAGTCCAGCATTTTGAGATGTCTCACATTAATTTTCCATGGCAGCTATAGCAAATTACCTCCAACTTAGTGACTCAGGATGAGACAAATTTACTGTATTACAGTTTCAGAGGTCAGAAGTCTGAAAAGGATTTCACTGGGCCAGAGTCAAGGTGTCAGCAGGGCCAGGGCCAGACTCACTCTGGATGCTCCAGGGGAGAACCCATTCCCTTGGCTTGTGCAGCCTGAAGAGCCCCTGCCTTCCTTGGTTCCTGGCCCCTTCCTCCACCTCCAAACCAGACAGTGGCACCTTCAGATCTCTCTGACTCTTCCACCATCACATCTCCTCTAAGTCTCATCCTCCTGGCTCTTTCCTTTTCAAGGACCTTTAAGATTAGATAGCCCCCTCTCAGATAATACCAGATAATCTCTCCATCTCAAAATCTTTAATCATATCCTCAAAGTCTCTTTTGCCATATGAAATAACATATATCACAGGTTCCAAGAATTAGGCCGTGGTCCTGTATGGGGGCAGGGTGGATTACCTGTCTTCCACATGCCATTTCTCTTGGTCCTCTGATGCTTCTGTTAATAACAGTTGACCTATTAAAACAGGATCACAAGGCTCACACCAAATGATCCACCCTGCTGCTTCCTAGGGATGCTGCTGGTAGACAGGATGGTGGTGCTGGGTATGGTGCTGCTCTCTGCAGACATGGCCCCACCAGGTGATGAGTGAGCCCACCACCCAGAAGGAGACTGGAAATGCCAAAGACTGATCTCTCACATGCGCTGGGTCCAGGCTATGAGGTCTCCCAATAGAGCTCAGAGGCAGCTGCTATCATTAGCCTCAATTTAAGAGCAAAGGAATGGAAGCTTCAGGAGACTGAGTTATTTGTCCAGGTTCCATGCCTGAGCAGTGACCTCAGATTGGCCTGTGTGACCATCCTGTGCTATTATCCTGCCTGAAGGTTACCTGGTCCAGTACCTGTCCTAGGAAGAGAAGGAACAGGTGCCAGACCTGGCCCATCCATCCTTCTATGGGCTACAGTTTGGAAAACTAAGCTCTCTGATTGCCACAGTCTAGGGAGGAGCCACCTGGCTGCCTAGAGAGGGTATGTGGTGGGTCAGCACATGGAACAGGGGTGTTGCCCAAACCTCAAGTCAGCACAACACCCACACAAAATTTGATGCTATTTCCAGGAGCAAAACACAGTCTGAGAAATCAAGCACAGATGGCAAAATACTGGGATTTCTGAGATCTGTTGCTGATTTTTAGGGACAGTTGGATAGACTGAAGTCAAATAGGATCATGATGATTGATAACAGGCCTAATGGACCTCAGCAAATGGATAGTAGGGGATTCTGAGATGAGCTTCTTAGAGCAGAGCAGGCCAGAAGGGAGCAGTTGTAAAAGGTGACAGAGGAAAGAGGACAAATGGACCAGGCTCCATCCTCCATGTCAACAATCAGGAGGCCAGAGTCTAAATCCAGCTCTGCCACTTTCTTTCTATACACCCTCAGGCAAGTCGGTAACTTCTCTGAACAAACTCTCAGTCTAAATAATAAAGGGGAAAAGAAAAACTGAATTCAAAAGTAGTCTTTCTGGAGATATGAGTGGAGATTGAATGAATTCATTTTTCTTTCAAACAAGATACTAAAAAGATTTTTAAATGTTTTTTTTGTCTAGTAACAATCTACAGAGTATCATTTATATCTATATGTCTTGATCTTCATTCTGTTTGCCTAATCTGCACATAAATTTTTAAACCACAAAGTGGTTTGTTTAAAACCAACAAAGTAAAAAAGCACTGGTAAAGGGGTGGAGAAAGCCCTATATTTTTAACTGTGCTTTATAGTAACTCTAGAATATGCCTTCTTATTTTATACTAAAATGATACATGCTTGAACAATATTCAATCAAAATGGAAATATATAAAGTCAAAACAGCTCCCATGTAATTACCAAAACTTGGGAGCAACCAAGATGTCCTTCAGTAGGTGAATATATAAACAGTGGCACATCCAATAGTGGAATAGCACTCCGTGGTGAAAATAAATCAGGTTCCAAGCCACCAAGAGACATGGAGAACCAGGTACAATGGCATACACCTATAATCCTAGTGACTCAGAAGGCTGAGATAGGAAGATTGCAAATTTGAGGCCAGCCTCAGCAACTTAGTGAGAAACTGTGTTTAAAAATTTAAAAACTGAGGGACTGGGGATGTATCTCAGTGGTAAAGCACCCCCAGAGTTCAATCCCCAGTACAAAAAAAAAAGAAAGAAAACACAAGAGATATGGCGGAACCTAAAATACATATTACTAAGTGAATCTGAAAAGGCTATATGCTTACTGATTCCAATTCTGTGACATTCTAGAAAAGTCAGAATTAAGGAAAAAATTTAAAATATCTGGTTGCCAGGGGTAGGAGGAGAGAAGAATGACCAGAAGAGCCGAGGATTTCAGGGCAGTGAACCTATCCTGTGTGACACTATAATGGCCCATGCATGTCATTATGCTTTTGTCCAAAACCATAGATAGATATAATATGCCATCAGGATGTTCATAGTGAAAGAGGCTATGCACATGTGGGGACAGCGGACATATGGAATTCTGCATCCTCTGCTCAGTTTTGCTTTGAACCTTAAACCACTCTAAAAACTAAAATTATTTAAAAAAAAAAAAAAAAAAAGCAACAGCCTCCAGCCCCATCCCCTTCCCAGAGGGAATCTCTCAGAACAATTTGAAGGGACTCTGCCTCACCCCTTTATATGCATACACAAACATGTTTGCAGACAATCTGAATCTTTGTCTACAATCTCAAATGTACAAGGAATATCACAGAATGTTATTTTCCATCACTCAATTTAAATCCAATGTTAACCTTCTTTGAAACTGGTAGAAAATTCAGTATGTCAGTATGGGCTCTCTCTCTCTCTCTCTCTCTCTCTCTCTCTATATATATATATATATATATATATATATATATATATATATATGAGGAAAGATCCCAGAATCTCAGAAGAGCCAGAGCACTGGCTGGACCCTCTGAAGGTCTATTTATGCCAATTCCATTGAAAACTGTAGGTTGAGGGCAGCCTCATGGGAACTGTGGGTTGGGGCTCTGCCACTTCCAGCCTCTGTTGGGGACAAGGATGCCCTTGAGGCTGACAGCCAGTCCCCCAACCCTACTCCAGATGTGGCCTCCTCCTGGGTTACTCTTCCTGATGCATGGAAGGGTCCATGGTGCTCAGGAAACCCAAGACCTCAGGTTCCTACTTTTCCTACATTCGAAAAAGCCCCCTCCCTGTTCCCTCCCTCCCTCTTCTCCTCCTCCTCCTCCTCGTCATCATCATCATCATCATCCTTAACTGACAGAACTTCCACTTTGCCCTCCCTGAGAGCCCAGCCTTGTACTGTGCTAAAGGAGAGCCATCAATTTCAAGCAGCTTTATTTTCTCTCCTGCAAAAAACCAAAGCAAAAAAAAAAAAAATATCTAAGGGCATGGCTCCCCTTTCAGACTAGGGGAGGAAGGGGGGAGACAAAGAAAGGCCACCAAACACAAATTAACATCCCAAAAGTGACCTGCCATATGTGTGTGTGTGTGTGTGTGTGTGTGTATGTATACAAACTGAATTCTATGCCTTTTTTGTTCATCAAACAACATATCACAGACAATATCTCCATGTCAGAACACGTATGTGCTGCATTCTTTTAAAAAGAAAATTCACATATTATTCCATTTCACAGTTGCAGCATAATATATTTTTATCACTATTCTCCATGAACACTGAAGTCTGTTCTACTGTTTTGCCATTTCAAATAATAACCATATTAATAATCATACTTGTATGTTCAGCTTTACATCAAAGAATGAGAATCTTTGTCTGACAAAGACTTTAGGAGCTGAATCACTAGGTCAAAGGGTATATGTGAATTTAAATTTTGGATAGCTAGAGCCAAATCACCCTCTAAAAATTGGCATCTATTTGCAGGCTCATAGACAGTGAATTTAAGTATTTTCATGCACCTTCAGCCAGGGATTTGGGACTCTGGGGTTGATCAGAAACTCCGAGTTTCTGATCCTTATCATTAGGTAAATGGAGCTATTGATGTTTTTCTTGTTTTCAGGTGTAGTTCTTTCGTTAGGAGTGAAGTGAACATTTTTGTATGGCTTTTGGCTGTTTGCATGTCTTTTGATGGAAACTGCCTCTCCATGGCTCTTGTGTACTTTTCCTATTGGGATGTTCATCTTTTTTCTTATTGATTTTTAATTCGTATTTTGAATATTAAGAAAGATAGCATCTGCTTATTTTAAATATCCTATACTTAAGTGTTGCAGATTAGAAATGATCTCATGCCACGTAATTTCTAACGTTGAAGCAATTTCCTCTTTCAACTCAGTGTCCAAAATGATCTTCCTTCTCTGTGTGTGCACTGGCCTCTCCTAGGCGAACCCCTCAATGGCCAGCTGGATGAAGAAGGTAGAAGCCAGGAAGATGGAGAAGAGAAAGAGAAGAACGGGGAGAAGGAAGACTTGCACGGGGAGGCGTCTGAAATCTTCACCTCAGAATCGGTGCAGACCTTCCCGATCAGGCATCCAGATAGATTTTCTTCCCATCGACCAGACAACTTGGTACCACCAGTGCCACAGCCCCCACGAAGAAGCCGGGATCACAACTGGAAGCAGCTGGGGACAACAGAGTGCTCAACAACCTGTGGGAAAGGTGAGCCTGCCTGTGGGACAGGGTGTCCCTGCAGAACCCAAACAAGGAAGTATGTCTCAGGATGTGTGGCAAATCCTCACTTCCGTGACCTACCTGTGAAATGGTTCATTGGCACAGCAGGCAGGGTTAGAGGTCCCCAAGATGACCCTTGGGCTCGGTGATCTACTACAAGGACTTACAAGATTCAGAAAGGCTGTTGTGCTCATGTTTACACTTTATAACAATAAAAGGATACAGTTTAGAATCAGCAAAGAGAAACAGCATATGGACACAGTCCCGGAGAAACCAAGGGCCAGTTTCCAGGTGTCCCCTCCTCAAGGATACCTGATAGAGCCACACAGGGATACCCTTTATTTTTCCCACAGTGATGTGTGACAACACACTCTGAGTACTGCTGACCAGAGATGCTCACCCAAGTTTCAGTGTCCAGGGCTTTTATTGGGCATTAGTCACATAGGCATGTAGCTCCCACATGGTTGGCATTAGCTACACAACCTTTAGTACCCCCAAGGTCAAACCAATATAGTGTACCAAGGCTTGAGGCATAAAAAAACAGACAGTCGCTATAAATCACATTGTCGGCACAAATTATCCTGACAAATCCATAGACATGGCCCAAGATCTCAGGCATAGAAAAACTCTCACCAGGCAGAATTTTCCAAGGACTCTAAGGTCATCTCCCAGTAGCTGATTCAGGGCCAGCCGTGAGGACAAACCTTTCTATGCAATGTGCAGGGTTTGAGCAACCCAGGCTGCTGAGTTAAGCCTTTTCTGGGCATATATATATATATATATTCACAGTAATTACAGAATGCACATATCAGGTCTAAAATTGATATACAAGTCAAGGTTGTAGAAGATTTTACACAAATGCCATTTTAAACTCATTCTCAAATCTAATGATTTTAGGAGAGTAAAACATACTTTGAGGGCTTGAGGTGTTAATTAGCTGGCTTTTATACTCATGGTTTCCTTTCCATACTCTCCCAGTAAAAATCTTAATTCCAGATTCATCCATTAGCCTAACTTAGTCAGATAGGACCTCCAAGGGGCAAACCTGTACCCAGCAAAGTCGGGTTTATTAACTTATTGCAAGAAGGGAGACTAGAAACCTGAAGAAGCATGGCCTGTCTCTCCAAACAAAAGGAAGTTATAGGATTTGGGAGATGGATGGAGTTTTGGTGTCATTTCAATAAAGCAGAGTTTTGACAGGCTCAAAGCATGACTGTGTCAAGGGGCCAACATGAGGCCTGAACATGAACCCAGCATCCCATTTCCTTGGAAGCTCCAAAGTTAGGATAGGTGTGGAACATGATATCCAAAAACTCCTTATGAGACGTTGTCCCCTTGATAGGAAATGAACTGTGCTTCTGCTTCAAGGTAACTTTGATCCTCGTTACAAGAATACATCTATAAGCTGTGTAGTTATCATTTCCTTCAGATATATAATAATAGCCTCTCATTTGTACTAAAATTCTATTGTTGTCCCTGAAATGGCTGTTGTCTGAAGGGAGGTTATTATAGAAACAAAAAGGCTGTGTCCCCCCAGGATTTCCTACAACCTGTGTCACTATGTGATACACCCAACATATTGTTTTGGGATTTTTTTTTCTTTTCTTTTCTTCAAGAGACTTGACTCTAAGAGTGTGAAATTTGGAAATCTTGACATAATTCGAACATAGAAAAATCTCTCACAATTGCTTCTAAAGCTTTGACTTAGTGGCTTTGAGAATAAAATTTAAGTCTTGGGTTCTTCTGGGAGCTAGAGCTCTTCCTGCCCAGAATCTCTGAAATTCCATAAAGACTTGGTAACTAGAGTATTAATTTACAAGGTTTTATTCCAATTTTATTGTGCTCATGCTTGATACATGTGCAAAGAATGTGGACTGGCAATTCGTTGAACCCGACTTCTTCTGTAAGCTTTATGAGGGAAAATCACATTTATGAGGGAAAATGCCTCTAGAATGTGTCTTGAGAGAGGTAGAAAGCTAGGAGTAATTCTGCATTAAGGCCAAAATCATTTTAATGAGACTCTGGCCATGATATTTATAGAGATAAGTTGTATGTAATGTAATTAACATAGGAACCCAAGATCAAAATGTATTATTTCCAAAATATTCTGCCATCTGTATAGTGGTGTGATGCCTGTGAAAAGGAACCAGATACACTCAGAACTAGGTGAAAATGAGAGAAAGTCATTAAAAGGATGAAAATTATCATCATTTGGGGTTTGGGGGGGGGGGTTGTGGGATTTTTTTGTTTTGTTTTTTGATACCGGGGATTGAACTCAGGGTTACTTGACCACTGAGCCACATCCCCAGCCCTATTTTGTATTTTATTTAGAGACAGGGTCTCACTGAGTTGCTTAGCACCTCACCATTGCTGAGGTTGGCTTTGAACTCACAATTCTCCTGTCTCAGCCTCCCGAGCCACTGGGATTACAGGCGTGCACCACTGGGTCCAGCTCATCATGTGGTAACATATCAAGGGTGGCATAGATAGAAGTTTCTCTTCCACCCCACCCAGCCATCATAAGGCATTGCATTTTTGGACATAATGAGATAAGAATAAAGTATGTACCCTTGGCCAACACATTCTCCATACTCTATGTGTCCAGCAGTAACTGGATGGATGCTGATCACTCGTCTAGGTAGCCATTCAGCAGGCCTTTCTCTATTCTATACTTGACATGATGGAGAGACCTAATATCCAAAGTTTCCAGTTATTTTGGCCCCTAACCTACCCTGGATGTGTGATCCACACTGAGGTAAAAACTCTCCCTCTTATCCTCTGGTAGCGAACCAGCAAACTCCTATTCCTACTCCAAGACCTACCTACCTCAGATGCCACCTCCTCTGTGAAGCTTTCCTGATTCTGCAAGATGCAAATAGGCACTTCTTCATCTGGGACTCCCAGCAGTTCGACACATCTCTGTCCCCACCCTGCCTGGCTGGGCTGGCTCCATGAGTATGCAGTTTGTAGCCTCTGCACCTGGTACCGTAGCACAGCAGCCAATCTCAAATGTGTCTAGGATAAGTGAATAGATCATTATATTTCAAATGTGGGCTGTATGAGCTATTAGAAAAGATACAAGAACAGCTTTTATATCTTTATTATATTCTAGACACACACTTCTATTCCTGCCTTTACCCATGTGCTATCAGTAACATAAAAAACGTGGATTCATATATTCAAAAATTATCTGGGGCTGGGGATATAGCTCAGTTGGTAGAGAGTTTGCCTTGCGTGCACAAAGCCCTGGGTTCAATCCCCAGCACCAAACACACACACAAAAAAAGAATAGTCTTTGTCTCTATGTTTCCATATGACTCTGTGTAATCTTTAAGGTAGCATTCTCCTTGACATTGTGGATTCACACTGTCTTCTAGATTGTGAGATCTGGAATTTGACATCCATACCCATTTTAAATATTTAGGCTGTACACACCCACTTGCACATGTTCACACCCACACTTGGCATCTGCCACTCATGAGTATCTGAGGTGACATTCCTACCCTCTTCTTTTCCCTGATAAACAGTACTGGTTTGGAAGCCAAAGAGATAATGCAGAGGTACATTGGGAATGAACCAAAAATGGGGGTGTTTCTTTCCCTACCCTTCCCTTTTCTTATAGTCCTAGCTCTCTTTTTCTTTCATGTGACAAATGCCAGCAGCCCATGGGTGCCTCTCCCTGCTCCCTTTAAAGTGATGTCACCAGATGTGCAAGGCCAGGGAAACAATGTGGATGCATAGAACAGTCATCAGCAGAATTATCAAGTGTGTTGTGACCAAGAAATTCTATGAGTGCCAGCACTGTCCAACCCTTTTCTGCACAACCCAAATCCATACCTCTTGCGATCTCATCATCTGTGCCTTATAAACCCTCTCCTACACTCTTGCCCATCCTCCCTGGAGGAGCCAGCCACACATGTCTGTGTCTCCCACATTTACATTTCCCTTTTTGTAAATGTTTCAGCAGCAGCATGCCAATCATGGTATTAGCCTTTTAGGGTGGTAGACAAGAGTAGCCCATACTCAACTACCCGGACCTCTGTCAAAGTCCTGGCATGGCTCAGTTGATTCCTGCAGGTCCTAGAGTTATTAACCTCTTACTTGATCCATCTTACATCCATCTCTCCATAATATCTCACTGACCTCCACCCCATCCCTTGAATTCACTAACCCCATTTATTATAAACTAATAACCTGAGGTACAATTCCCAATTCTGACATAACACACTTCTATTTTGATCAGCATTTCCACATACCAGCCAGACCAACCAATCCCACATTTGTTCTTCTGCCCGAAGTCTAGCCAGCACCTGCCCTCAAACCCTGTCCTTGCTTACGGGCAATGATAGGAATCATTGGATTGTAATCTTGGACAATGTGAGGTGGTCAGGTGCCCTTCTGAGTGACAATCTCCCTTTCTGTGGATGTAAAAATTGAACTAAAGAAAGAAACCATTGCAGTTGCTGGAGTCAAGAATTGTAGGTCCAGTATTTCCTCACCATTAGAGAGACAAAGAGCCTCTGATTTCATTTCTTTGGTTCATTTCCATGGAGCTGGACCATGGACAATGGACAGTGCACATAAATGCAATAAAATTGTGGGGGAAGGCAAGCAGTGGCCACCTGCCAAACGCCCCCAAGCAGGACCCATCCTTCCAAGCAAGAGCATTCCTATGGTATCCTGTATCCTTTTAGCTAAAAATATTAGATTTCCCCCTATGTGAGTGCCAAGTGGTTGGGGTAGTGATTTTTGCTTTCCAGTCCACAAACTTATAAGTGGAAAAGTTAAACCCACATGGTCTAGAGGGAAAGGAATAGGCTAAATAAGATCTTTACTTAAGCCCTTAATAGCTGGGTCCTAAATGTGTGCACTGCAAGCTGGGAGCTAAGTCTTGTTCTTCTTTTTAACTCAGCACAATATGCTTAATGTTTGTTGAATTTAATTAGAAATCTCTTCTGTTTAATGGAAGGAGATACGTAGTTGAGCAAAATTTAATTCCTCAAAAGTTTTTGCTTCCCATTAATTTTACAGTCAGTACTGCTTTTTACTGAGCTAATAATTGGGCCTAATTGGAACGTTATTTTAAATAATGGTCTCAAGTTATAGCTACACTGTAAAATCTTACTACCAGAGTCATTTAAACAAATGATCGCTTCAGATTCAAAACTGTCTTACAAACTGTCAAATTTCTTATGAGAACTACCTATCCTCTGGCTCAATCTGTCATACAAAATCAGTTTGAAGGATATCTGAGACACTTGCATGGCTGATGTCATATCAAGACATGTAAGTCATAGCTCTAGAAAATATAAGTGCCTGGCAACTTAGCAACAGAAATAAGTTGTTTTAGAATAAACTATAGTGTTGTTCCCGGCAGGAATTGTGCACCACCCCGGACTGGAGGAGGACAGCTGTTTGTGAAGAAGCATCCTCAGAAGCTTGATTCAGACAGTATTCTCTCTTCTTAAAATTCCACTAGTAGTATCCCAGTGCTGTCAGCAGGTGGCAGCAGAGAGGAAGACAGAACTGAATTGAGAGCTGGAAATTTCACTGATCAAATTCTGGCTTGTTGTTCAAAATAGTTTTATCCTAACTAAGCCAGTGAAACTTGGCTATGTTTCTAAAACAAAACCATGAGACAGTTTTTTTTTAGCAAAATACCAAAAACAAGTATAATACCTCTGTGTTAGTCAGGTTTTTATCACTGTGACAAATGCCTGAGAAAAACAACTTAAAAGTGGAAAGATTTATTTTTGGCTCATGGTTTCAGAGGTTTCAGTCCACAGTCAACCAGCTCCATTGCTTTGGGCCTGAGGTGAAGTAGGATATCATGGCAGAAGGGCATGGCAGAGGAAAGCGGCTCAGCTCATGACAGCCAGGAAGCTTATGTCAGGGTGTGGGGGGCAGGGGACACACAAAATATAGCCCCCAAGGGCACACCCCCAAGGACCTACTCCTTTCAACTAGGTTTTACCTCCTCCAGTATTCACTACCTCCCAATAATACCATCGAATTATGACTCCATCAGTGGTTTAATCCACCAATTAGGTTAGAGCCCTCGCTATCCAATCATGTCTCAAACACCCACCTCTATATATTGCTGCAATTGAGTACCAGACCTTGAACACACAAGGCTTTGGGCATATTCCAGATCCAAACTATCACAACCTTTTATAAATATTTATTCTATAAGCTTCTATAAGCACCTGCTACTTTCCTAGGTCCTGGAGTTGCTGAGATGAATAAGAACTAGTCCTGTCCCTGAGTAGCCCACTGTCTTCATGCGAAGCAGACATACCTGAAACAGAATTACCACTGGATTCGGACATTGTTAGAGTAATATAGAAATATGTTACAAAGGGAGACAGCAGCTATTCTTGAATCTTGAATCTTCTTCCTGCTTTGCTTCAACTTGCCACACATGTGTACCTGGTCTAGAAAGTCAGTTTGTCAAGCAGGTACTTTTATTCCAGATTAACCACCTGGGCAGCCCCTCCCCCAATACAGGTGCATATAAACTACCCAAGCCCAGCCCTTTCTCTCTGAAACATGGCTTCACCCCTCCAGGACACTTTCTCTTGGATGCTTCCAGAGAACCTTAGAAAGTAACTATTTGTGTTCATTCTATAGTCACTCCCAACCTAGTGAGTTCTTTTTTGTTATTTCAAACCATTGTGAAAATTGCTTTTATCTACCTTTGAATATATTCAAACCATGTCCACAAATAGAGTAGAAACTCTGCGAGGCAGGAGCTGTGTGGGACTCTCCTTTGCACGCCCACAGTCACTAACAAAGTCCTGTGAATAAGTGCATATCGACACACTGGTGAAGGAGAGCCTGTGGGGATGGTCCTCCTTTCACTGGCACCTCAAGACCTGTGCACCATCCCGGAGCCCAGCTTCAAGTGTGTGAGGCTGACCTTGGCGCTCTCCTTGTCCTTACAGGATCACAGTACCCTGTTTTCCGCTGTGTGCACAGAAACACTCACGAAGAGGTTCCAGAGAGCTTCTGTGACTCCAGCATGAAGCCAACTCCAGAGGAGGAGCCCTGCAATCTCTTCCCTTGCCCAGCCTTGTAAGAGGCCTCTGTCTAGGTCACCTATTGTCGGGTCACTTCTGGTTGGTGTGCATGAGACCTTAATAGCAGATAAGAATCTAGTTATTAAACTAGTCTAAGTCGGATTTACAAACACCAGACTTGGACTGTGCTTGCTTTGTGGTGTGTTTAGCAAGCCTACCTGTCTTTCTGGAGAAACCCGGGAGCTACTGGCCTTTAGCAAGTGGCACACTGAGCAAGAAAGCCCACCCTTTGGGAAATTGGGGCAACTGGGGTTTAGCCTGGTAAGGAAAACAGATGGAAGCAAAGAATGGGAACCTGGTGCCATCAGTGCTGTCAGGGAGCTGAGTACAGAGAGAAAGTACTGAGAGTGGACCTGGAAAATTCAGAAAAAGTGTCTCAAGAGAGGTCTTAGACTGGTTAGACACTTCTAAAAGAACCGGGGGAAAGACCCTAAAAGGTCAAAACCTAATTCTCTGAGTAATAAAAATAATACTCTCATCCAAATGCATAATGAGCATGTGCTGATGTCACATGCAACTAATCACTGAGTTGAGAGGACAGAGGAGGATATGTAAAAGGGATGTGGAGACCTTGCAAAGGAAGGGCTGCTGGAGGGAGGTCTCTTAGTTCTAAACCAGGTTATGTTCCCCAGTGTAATTAAAGTCCCCTTTGGAGTGGTTGGGTTCTGTTTTACCTTGTTTACTAGATAGAAATCCTTTGTACCTTCTCAGTATTCTATAACTTCATATAGAATCTGGGCCCTGGTCACTGGTAAATAGCGTGTCAAACAAAATTTGCTTCCGTTATGAGTCAGATGACCTTAGTCAGATTTGCAACCAATGATCCAGGAGGAGGGTCCCCCAGGGATTCTGATGATTATGAATGGGCTGGGCTCACACTTCCCTCTGAAGTCTCTCTCTCTCTCTCTACCCCCGGCCCACCCCACCTCTTTTTGGAGCCAGCTGGGACATCGGGGAGTGGTCTGAATGCAGCAAAACCTGTGGCTTGGGCATGCAGCACCGCCAGGTTCTGTGCCGCCAGGTGTACGCCAACCGAAGCCTGACTGTGCAGCCCTACCGCTGCCAGCACCTGGAGAAGCCTGAGACCACCAGCACCTGTCAACTCAAGATCTGCAGCGAGTGGCAGATCCGGACTGACTGGACCTCGGTATGGGGCAGGGCAGCCTGCTGCAGACCCCCATCTCCAGGACCCACCACCACTCTCCCACCTCCTCCCACCAGGACCTGAGACAAGATAACCCTCAGCTCCCCAGGAGGAAACCCATCCCCAGGGTGCTGGTTAGCTGTGTTTGCAGGTCCTGGGATGTACCAAGAGCTCAGTAGAGTTCAAGCTGGTGTGCATCACCCACAGCCAACTTCATGGGTGAGCCCATGGGAGCCCTGTGCCTGTTGACCTCACCTGACCCATGTATCGTGGTGGAGTGAGGTAGACAAACTAGCACAGCCAATTCTCCCATTTTATAGATGGAAAAACTGAGAGCCATCAGAACAAAGTAGGCAAGATTTCCTCTAAGAAGGTCTTAAAGAAAAGAGTCGTGAAATTTTCTAGGGCCCCCAGGGGGACCTAGCAACACTGGGGACCTCACCACAGTTATCCATTCATGACATGGGTGACAGAAGAGTGAGGACACATGCCACTGATGTAAGCTTACTGTGTTTTAGTGCTCAGTGCCCTGTGGAGTGGGACAGAGGACCCGAGATGTGAAGTGTGTGAGCAACATTGGGGATGTGGTCGATGATGAGGAATGCAACATGAAGCTCCGGCCAAATGACATCGAGAACTGTGACATGGGACCCTGTGCAAAGAGCTGGTTCCTCACCGAGTGGAGTGAAAGGGTGAGTGTGTCAGTGGCAGACAGCCTCAGGCCAAGCCACTAAGCTAGTGGGCAGGAGCTGTATGTCACAGGATATCCCCAAACCACGCAAAGACAAATCACCAGCTCAGAGTCCCAAGGCTGATTTCTGACTTTGAAAAAAAAAAATGGGCCAGAGATTGATTATTATATGCTCTGTCTCCTCATCTGAGGACTGAAACTTTAAGACTGAGAAGTGGGTGTGAGAAAAAAAATGAACTTAAAATGTACTTGAAAATTGCTGAGAGTAGATTTTAAATGTCCTCAGCACAAAAAATGGTAATGAAGTGAAGTAATTCATATATTAATTAGTTAAATTTAGCCATTCCACTAAGTATACATGTTCAAAACATCATGTTATGCACCATAAATACATAAAATTTTAATTGTCAATTAAAGGCTTACTTTAAACATTGGTGAAGGTGTATAAGAAAATAGCATTTGCTATTAGCACTGTGTATGATTAAATAATGAAATACTAATTATAGGGAATAATTACATCACACCTTTCATGTTTTGTGAGTGTCTGGCAAATAACAGACATTCAGCAAAAGGTAGCACCTCCCCTGCTTTTTAATAACTAAAAACATTTTAGACCCTGTCCCTCTCTCCAGTAGCCTGGTTCCCTCAGCCTCCTAAGTGTCAGGTGTCCATGAAAAACTCAAAGGCATATAAAGTTCACTGTGAGTCCAGCAGTGACCTATATTCAAGGAAAACCAGTATTAGACTGAGTTTATCTGTCACAGGCAAAAATAGGGTTTATACAAGGAAGAGATTCTGGAGATGGGTGGTGAGGGCCACACAGGAAGTGCACCTAGTGCCACTGAAGGGAGTTTAAAAATGGTCACGATGGCAAGTCTTATGTACAAATATACATAACAATAACAAATAAGTTTTTATTTTTATTTTTGAAGGAAAAACACTAAGCAAAATTAAAGAGTATACGTTGGGGTGGGGAAAAGGCAAGGGGGAAGGAGATGAGAAGGGTCATTTAATTCTGTCCCTCTCTTCACCACATAATCCACATCAGTGATTTGTTATTCAGAAAGAAAGGACAACCTGTGAATGCAGCCTTGGGCCCACCCTCAGAGATGGTCCTGGAGACTGTCATGCAGAGGTTTGTCATCTGGTGGATTCAGGGCTCCTGGCGGCACACAACTGCTGCCTCTTAGCCCCAGGATGCCCCCAGATAGAGAGCCTTTGGTGTAAACATTGAGCTCTTGGGAGGAGCTAACTGGGCCCTGGGTCTCAGGGGTAGACAGTTAAGGGGCCCCAGCTTAGCCACCTGGGAGGCTGCACCCACAGGGAAACACACGGAAAGGCATCCACCAACTCAGACTGCTGAGTCCAGAGGAGCTCATCCCAATTCTGCCTGCATATCGCCCCCTTTCCAAGCCTCCCAACCCAAATATTAACTGGCAGTGTTGTGCTGGGAGGTGTTGGCGGTCATTTTGGTCAGCTCCCTGCCAGCACGCGGATGCTCTGCAGCCTTCCTACCAAGGTCACTCAGTTTCTTGTCTGATTCCTTGGTCAGAAATTCTCCCCGTGTCCAGACTCGCTCATCTGTTTCTCATACAGCTCAAGGGTTCGGGAGGTTTCCAAAGAGCTGCCGGCGCCCACTTGTCCTTTACAGAATCTGAGTGACCCTGCTTGCACGGCAGCCTGTGGCCATTTGGAGAGCCCTTCCACTTCTCCAGACTAAAAATTCCTAGTTCCTTCCATTAATCTTTCAGTGATTTCATTTCTGGGTTTCTAGCCACCCCAGAATCTATTTGCATTCATAGTAAACTTGATATATTGTGTAAGAAAATAGATGAGAAGAATGATACTGGGTTTCATTTTCATATGGAGGATTATTTTTGAAGAATGTTCATTTTTTCTAGTCAAAAAGTAATACACTATTATAAAAAATATGAAAAATTCAGAAAACTAGGCCCAAAATCTCTTCACTAAAAGATAATAATTTGAGATTATTTAGCCACACTTTCTAAATTTTTTTTTGCTTCTCAAACATACTCTGCACATAGGGGTTATACTACTTTTAGATATTTTAAGGATATAAGTCATAATGCAGGCATAATTTGATAACCTGCTTTTTTCACTTACATGTTGTAAACATTTCTATAGTATTAAAAGTCTTTAATGCATGGTTTTTAGTAAAAAATAAGCTATTGTATAGCTACTGTAATTGAACCAGTCCCCCATTTCTAAATGTTTGAGTTTTTTTCTAATTTTCTACTATTTTAAATTGGACCTTCAAAAGGATTTTCAGTGAATATTCTTATGTATCCCTCTTTATATGTGCCTTTTCTTATTCCCCTAAAACGTGTCTAGGAAGTAGAATTATTGGACCAAACGTTATGGATGCATAATATGAACTCAATAGATTTTGACAAACTTATCTCCATAAAAATTATTTCAATTTATCATCTCCCCAACAAACTAGGAGCATTTTACTAATCAGTTTACTTTGATGAATTATTATACTTTTTTAATTGTATCTCTCTGTATTTGCCCCACTCTGAAAAAGGCACTGGACTCAGATTGCAATAGATACAGAAATAAAACAACTATGTAGATAGAAAAAAAAACCTGCCGTGGTTCATTCCTCTGTGTGTCTCCCCTATTTATTTAGTGTAGTAAACTTCTACACATAAATTTTCCAAGGATTTCTACATCAGCTATTTCCCCTTCAATAACAACTTCTAAATTTCCCCTTAATGTCAATTTCCTATTTATTTTAACATAAGTATTTGCTGCATCTAGCCTCTATCTTACAATTAAAATAGAGCAAAGAATGGGCCCTTTATTCTTCTATTTAGAGAACTTTTTTGGTTTTTATGGAGATGTTTTAAGACATGTAAGTTTGGAGCTAGGATGTAAGTAAAATAAATTTTGCTTTGTCTACCTCTAGAATATAAACTTATCCCTAAATGTCCATTCTTTCTTTGGAACTTTAGAATAGCTGAGTGGCTGAGTGGTAGGAGGATGCTGTTGGGTTTAAGGACAGCTCGTTGCCTTTGGAATCATCTCTGTGGCCACTGCTTTTTTTCTTCTTCTTCTTCTTTTTTGTACTGGGCATTGAACCCAGAGGTGCTTAACCACTGAGCCACATTCCCAGACCTTTATATTTTTGACTTTGAGACAAGGTCTCACTGAGTTGCTTGGGGCCTTGCTAAATTGCTGAGGCTGGCCTCAACTTGCAATCATCCTGCCTCAGCCTCTCAAATTGCTGAGATTACAGGTGTGCACCACCACAGCTGACTACCACTTACTTCTTATTTGACCTTGAGCAGCTGCTGAGTCTCTGAGCTTTTCTCGGTTTTCTCATCTGTAACATTGCCAGGTGAGCATTAAGGATTAATGCATTGGAAATCATGACCAAGGAGAGGCTGGCACAGTGGGGAGTTTTCTGTAGGCTGCTTCATCCTTCATAGGCTCCATGTCTACACCGGACCTTTGAGGCACCCGTTGGCCTTACAAGAGTCAGTCTCCATGAAGGACTGACCACCTGATGGCAGTATTCCACATTTGAATAGTTGCTTTATATAAAAATCCACCCTGCTAAGCTTCAGTCTAAACTTAGCAATTTTTCATTATTGAGAATAATCATGTATTGAGCACGTCTTGCATACCACACATGACCAAGACACACCCTCTGATTCATTGAGCTCAAAAGGAAAAAAACAGAGCTAGGCACAGTGGTGCACACCTATAATCCTAGCTACCCAGGAGGCTGAGGCAGGAGGATTGCAAGTTTAAGGCTAACTTAGCAAAACCTTGTGTCAAAATAAAATAAAAAGGATTGAGGTTGTAGCTTAGTGGTAGAGCACTTCCTAACACCTAATAAACCCTGGGTTTAATACTTAGTATTGCAAAAAAAAAAATAACAATTTTAAAAAAGAGGGACAGACCAGAGAAAACAAATGGATGTGTCGTGGTGCCTTACTTTGAAGATGAGTCTCTGCTGCTGAGAGGGACTCCCCTGCCCCTCATTTCTGCCAGTAGGCTTCTTGGACCAGGCCCTGAATAGGCTCTTCAAATTTAAAGTTGTGCTTTTCACTGCCATTGATGTAATAAAGCAAAGCTTCTCTACAGGTCTCCTCAGTGTGTCCACTCATTCATCCTTAACGGTCTTCTTTTAAATCAAGCCACCTGGGAATATGGAGAAATTTTCCCAGATGCCTGTGCATTCTAGATTTAGAAAGCAGAAAATTGAGTTAGCTAGTCAGATGTAAATTATGTGGGAAGAAATATATTTAGGGTTTTTTAAATATATTTTTATAACTTTATTTATTTATTTATGTGGTGCTGAGGATCGAACCCAGTGCCTCCCATGGCTAGGCAAGTGCTGTACCACTGAGCCACAACCCCCAGCCCCCTCTTTAGGGTTTTAAACACAGAGATCATTGAGATTTGATTTTTGTATTCTTTACAAGAGAGTATAAATACCTTGAATTTTCAAGTTAGGAAGAAGACCAGATCATACATGACTGAAACAAAAATCCCTCCAGTCTAGACTATTCCGATTATTGTAACAAAAAATTTTCTTAACCTAAGGAACTATTGCATTGTGTAAGATTTCTAATAATGATGCAAAAAGAGCAAAAGTCATAAAATGTGTATGTAAACATGTAAAGGAGGGAAAACTTATCCTCTACCCTCTTAGATTTTCTGGCTGCAGCCTATGAATTTAACTTACAAAATATTAACAGGAGGAAGATATACAAATTTTATTTGATGTTAGTATATTTGTGGCACAAGGAACTTCATACAAAAGAAGCAAAAACTCCAAAGAAGTGTCTAGACTCAAGGGTTCATATACCACTTTAACAAAGAGCAGTAAATTGTGGAGAAGTAACTAGACAGGGGGAAAGGGTTGAGCTTTGAGTAAGTTCTAAGATAGTGAGAAAGAAGTATAAGGGGGAATGTAATGGAAGTTAAAGATTATTTTACTAAGTTTATGCAGACTCATCTCAGAGCCAACTCCCTATCTCGAGTGATAAAAATGTTCTCTTTTTCCTAGTACTGGGAAGGCACCTTTCTCATTGGAAATTCATGCCCTGCTTTTAGGAAGAAAAGGAAAGAACAGAAAGCCCTTCTTGCTTCTCCTATTTCTCAATTGCCTTCAGCTCAAAAGAATTAGTACACTGAAGCAGCATATTCTGGGTGGCACGCTCTGGCCCTCTGCAAACCCTTTTCTCCAGAAGGGAGTTCATTCAAAAGGAGGCAGGTCCAATTCAGCAGAAGTCATGTAAATGTTTGACTGTTCACCTGAGGTGTGGCTTTATGAAAATAGACGGCAGTATACAAAAAATGGAAATGGACATTTTGATAATGAAATGAGGTTGTGAGGATTTATTTTTCTTTCCTCAAAATAGGGATTACTAAGGGTGAATGGCAAAGGAAATGGAGAGCTGTAGTCAGAGGATGTGAAGTAGCAGATACATAGGATGAAAATATCTAGAGCTTTCATGTGCAACAGGAGGACTATAGGTAATGAATTTGTTCATGCGAAATGAGTAGGTTTTAGGTGATATGGCCATAAAAAGGGGAGTAACTATGTGAGATGGTGGGTATGTTAATTTGCTTCACTATAGTAATCTTTCTAATACCTCTGTGTCCCATAACATCATGTTGTGTACCTTAAATATACACAACAAAATTTTAAGTGGTAATTGGTAGAAACCAAACTTTAACTCTGTCTTTAAAAGAAGACCTAGCTGGGCACACACCTGTAGACCCAGCAACTTCAGAGGCTGACACAAGAGGATTGCAAGTTTAAGGCCAGCCTCAGCAACTTAGTAAGACCCACAGCAACTTAATGAGACCCTGTCTCAAAATAAAAAAAATTAATCGGGCTGGGGATGTAGCTCAATGGTAAAGCACCCCTGTGTTCAAGCACCAACACCCAAAAATAAAAATAAAAGAAGACCTAGAAACCTTTAGATGGACTTTGGTCATGCTATAAATGACCACTTACAGGACTGAAAGTGTTAAGAAAATGAGCGAGGGAGGGGACCCAAGTCCATGTTCATTTATTCAGCTGATATTCATGGATTTATCCATGGACAAGGCAGTGATATGAGAAGGAATTAAGGATGATTCAGTAGTCCCTTTTCCTTGCCAAGATTATTTCTATAAAGAAAAAAACAAAGAAATAGGACACAAGTGACCATAACACAGTAGAAGAAGGCAGACTACAGAGTGCCATAGGATTCTGATGCTAGAAAGAGTGCATTGAATCGATGATCAAGGGAGTTTCCCCAGAGATGATAATATTTGAGCTTAAAGGGGTCTAATGGGTCCTGGGGAAGGGAAGAGCATTCCAGGCAGAGGGAACAGCATGTCTTGTAGTCAGGGAATCGTGATCACCCTGGCTCTGCAGCGTGAAGTGTATGGGATGGAGTGATGAAACATTAGTCTAAAAGAAGGAGCAGATTGGGGACACTTAAAATATGTGACTTGTTTCTGGAACTTTTTATTTAATATTTTCAGACTACAGTTGACTGTTGGTAACCAAAACTGTAGAAAGCAAAACAGTAGATAAGGGGAGGCTACTGTAATGGGGCAGGCTGTGCATGGGAAGTGGTCAGGTGTATCTACGAAAGAACTTGGTAGGGAAATGAGGTGTTCCTCCCTCCTTGGCATCAGTTGGAAGGGGCTTCCGAGCCTGGGGTACCGCCTCTCTCACCTGCCCTCCTCCTGTCTCACAGTGCTCAGCCGAGTGTGGGGTTGGAGTGAGGACTCGCTCAGTGGTATGCATGACCAACCACGTCAGCAGCCTGCCCTTGGAGGGCTGTGGGAACAACCGACCAGCAGAGGCCACCCCATGTGACAATGGGCCCTGCACTGGCAAGGTGGAGTGGTTCACTGGGAGCTGGAGTCAGGTGAGTGGCCAGAACTGGGTGTGTCTGTCTGTCCCGTGCAAGAGGCAGCATCCAGAGGGCTTAGGAACCAGGACTTTGTGGCAGGTGTCCCAGCGTTGAATCCCAGCTGTGCAGTGGCTCCCGTGACTCTGGAGAAGCTACTTGGGCTTTTGTGCCTCATGCACCAAAAGTTTTAATTAAGCATCTACTGTGTGCTCATTTCAACACTTAGGCTACATCAGGAAGCAAAACAAACATCCCTGCTCTCAGGGAGCTATGGCCTGGCACGGTTTCCTTATCTATAAAATAATGGCAATGGCCTCACCTTAGGAGTTATAAACACAGGGAGTTGCAGCTGCTGCTGCTCTGGTATTGTTACTGTTAATTAGGCCAGCTTTGTCTGCACTCAGTGTCAGAGCTGAAAGTTTTACAAGTTGGAGTTGTACATTATAAAGAACAGAGAATATTGAATACTTTTAAAAAAAAGTAACTTGATGGATGAATCAATTCTTTCCTCACTGTTCCAACTTTGAAGGTGATCCCCCTGAGAAAACGTAGCAGGTCATTCCCTCTGATTGCCCTGCTGTGATTCCCCTCGGTATCCGAGTTCTTGGACCACTTAGCATTTGGCTCCCGGGGCTGGCTGGTTCTCCAAGGACATTTTGGCTGATGCTCATGATTTACACATTATCAGGACCTCTGGCTCCATATAGAATTTTATTTCTTTTAAGTAGCTTTAAAAACAGACCTTGAAAAAAAAATGGACTGCCTTGTCCTTGTAAATTGATACAAGCCCTTTGGAAAGCAATTTGGCAATAAAAGTCAAGACCCATAAAAATGTTCATTTGCCTTCACCCAGTCACCCTACTCCTGGGGATTTGCTTTAAGGAAATAATTAACAGAAGAAAAAATGGCTTTTTCAACAGAGATGTTCATGACAGCAGGATGGCTAGGGATATTATGGGATGTCAGACTCAGTAAAATATTGTGTACCAATGACAATGATCATTAAAGGATATAAAAAGTATGTGTGAGATAATAGCAAGTGAAAATACAACAAGAAAATATGTCAACCCGAAATCTCAAAACATAGTTTTTATGTAAACAGCATGGAAAAATGTTTTCCATTTCTCTTTAATATTCTTATAACATAATCCATAAAATTACAGAAAATTTCAGACAAAAAAGAGGATTCAACTACTTCCATTGCCTACTCTGGTGAGCGTCAGAGTCAGATACATTGATAACTTATTCCGGCTCCCCTTCTCACTAGTTTTCTGACTGCAGGTAATTTAACCCCTCTGAGCCTGTTTCCTCATCTGAATATAAGGACAGCACCAACCTCCTCATGCTGTTAACAACAGGTTTTATAAGATGCTACACATATGGGGAGTTACTCATTGCTTGGGACATGGGGAACCTTTAATAAATATTCTGTTTCCATTTTTATTATTTTTTTCTGACAGCTGTTTCACATGTTTGCCCCTGCCCCAGCCCAGAGAGGCTGAGCCTCAGGCCCAAGCTCACCAGCAGAGGAGGAGGAACAGACTGGCCAGGGAAAGGTCTCTGCCGTAGGACTGCAAGCCAGAAGCACCACCCTGGGTGACCCAAAGTGACAGGGGCCCCAGGCTCTGGTATCCATGGGCTAAGATGGACCTATCCTTGGGCAGTAACCCCATGTCCTTCAGTGTCCTCTGAGGCCCAGGCCCTGGCCCGTCTCCTCTGGCCCTCGGCACTGACCCAGTCCCACAAAGCATTCTCCAGCGGGGGCCAGGCCTGCCGCTGTGCCAAGGTAGATCAGCACATATGCACCACTCCTGGCCTCTGCCACCAAACCTGGCTGCCTCACCTCTGCTATGACTCCCTGCCATCTCTCTAATCCCTGCTACCTCCAGGGTTGGCAGACAGCATAGCCAAGCCAGGGCCTTCGGCTCCCCAGGGCACAAGAGGCAGGCAGGAGATCTCTCTGTGAATCTCTCTCGGGGTCCTGGTGGAGCCTGCATCCCAGGACTTGCTGACCAGAAACAGAAACACAGGCAACATGTTGGGGACCCTCCCACAGTGCTGCTGTGGCTTCCTCTTTCAGGTCTTAGGGGCCAGGGGACATTGTTATGAGCCCTCCCCCAGCAAGAGAAGAGGTACAAGGTACTCCCAAGAAAGAGATGGATCGGGGGTTTGTAAGCAATACCCAGAGCACTCTCTGCAGCCCTGATGCAAACAGAAGTAGCTCAGTCTCTAAATGATGCCACAGGTGTGTCCTCTGAGGCACATTTCGTGCATCTGTAATTGGAGAGAGGAACGGATGGGTGGAGATCCCACTTAGAATCTTGCATCAAGCCAAGTAAACTTTGCTGTCAGAACTGAGTCCCGGGGAGACCAAGCCCTGCAAGCTGGATATGAGGGGGTGGGGAGCATGTCAAGCCAGCACCTTCCTCATCCCTTTCTCTGAAGTTCCAGGCCCAGTGTCCCTCTCAGGTGAACCAAGGGATGGGGGTCAGCAGAGACATGACAAGAACTTGAAAAGTACAGGCTGGGGTAACTCCCCTGCCTGCCCACCCCCGGACTCACCCCCCAGACCTACCAAAACCCAGGGCAAGGCTAGGTACTCAGAGTTCTTAGCTGAGAGACCAGGGTAGCTAAGTGCCAAGAGACTCTGTCCCACCCCAAAGGGTCCCCACGCCCAGGCCAGGGTGCTCAGAGCTAGAGTCTTGGGTGAGGCAACTTTTAACCAGATTTTTTAAATCTTTTTTGGTAACAAAGCACCTAGGATCTAAATTCCCAAATAATTCAGAGGTGACTGTTTATGGGACTCTAAATATATCCATCAAAACAAGCAATGGAAGAGACCTCTGTGAAATCATAGTGTCAGATCACAGCTGTCACACAGTTCAGTTGGACTCAGTGGCCCAGGCTGAACAGAGAGGAAGGGAGCAGGATTTGGGGCCTGCCTGTTGGGAAGGGAGGAATGGCCATAGGGGACATTGCCCCATGTCTGGGGTCTTCTCCTCATTTTATGTGTTCAAAGAATTTTAATGTCGCCCTTCTTCCACAGGTGTGCAGGCTCTGGGAGGTTAATTCATTTCATGCTATCCACCCTCTAAGAATCTAAAAGATAAAACAAAAATGTCAGCTCATTGTTTTAGGACCTCTGAGAGGTGTCAGAGTCGACTGGATAGAAACAGCCAAATTAACTGGCTGGCAAGTTCCTTTAGGGTAAGAGAAACTATTCAGTCCCAGCACAGAAGACAATGTGGTATCAGGGACCTTGAGTGATGCCAACCCAAGGGCACTGACTCTGCATTCCAGAGCAGAACTGTTAGGAAAATTGGAATCCACCTGTAGCTTCTCCTCCAAAAACATCTTCAGGTTCCCTTGGGTTCTTCTCACTGACTTGGTGGCAGAGTGGGTGCTGTCCCTTGATGGACAGTAGTTCTTGTTCCCTTTCTCTCACATGGCACCATCTTCCTCTGTTGCTTTCTCCAGTGTTCCATCGGGTGTGGGAGTGGGACACAGCAGAGGGAGGTGATTTGTGTGAGGAAGAACGCAGACACTTTTGAAGTGCTGGACCCCTACGAATGCTCCTTCCTGGAGAGACCCCCCAGCCAACAATCGTGCCACCTCCAGCCTTGTGGAGCTAAATGGTTTAGCACAGAATGGAGCATGGTAAGTCACGGTGCTCTCGGTAGAGATTGTCTTAATACAGTGTTCCCCTGCTGGCCCCCCAGAGTCACCTCTGGGCCAGGCTGGGCTCAGTTGAAAAGTGGATTCTAGACTCTCTGTGGCAATCTACTCTAAGTAGCTGCTACTGGAAGTAGCCCTGCTCAGTGGGGGTGAACCTGAAGCTTGGATGATCTTGACTTCTAAATTGTAGGGCAGTGACTCTTTCAGTGTGCATAAGAATCATCTGGGGATCTTGTTTGAAAAGACCAACTTTGGGCCCATCCTGGACAAAGACTGTATTTTTAATAAGCAGGATGCAGTCAATCTTGGTCTGCATTCTGAGAAACACTGCTGCAGAGGAACAGTAGCTGATTGGATTAAAGAATGTTGCTAAAGGTACTATATTATAATTTAGAAGTAAGGTACTGGGCTGGGGTTCTGGCTCAGTGGTAGAGTGCTTGCCTTGACATGTGAGGTACTGGGTTTGATCCTCAGCACAACATAAAAATAAATAAACAAAGAAAAAAAAGTAAGGTACTAATATTATAACTTATAAATTAATACATCTTTAAAGAGTGTTTTCTAGTTTCTCATTTCATCCACCGAAAGAGCCTAGGAACAGTGACAAATACAGTGCAAAGGGCACTCCTGATATCCAAATTACAGTTTTGAAATACTCTTGCCAGAAGGGGGGACCAGGGATTCTTAAAGGAACGGCTGATTCCAGATCTGAGACAGCAGATATGAGCTTTTCATCAGCCATTCTCAAAAACAGCTGAATTCATATCCAAAAGACTTAGAAGGCAACTTTTACAGTCTTCGGCTAGACACTGATGGATGGTTTGAGCATTGGTAAGAATAATAAGTACAATTAACTCAATGAAACACATTATATATGTTTAAATCCATCAATTTGTAATAGGTTTATAGCAATTTTTAAAAAAAGTAAGAGCTGGAGGATGAGCACAGTGGTAGAGACAGCACTTGCCTAGCACACACAAGGCCCTGGTTTGATCCCCTGCACTACAGGAAAAAAAGCAAAAGCAAAAAAAAAAAAAAACCAACAAATAAATAGTTTTTAAAAAACAAAACAAACTAATAGATCACCATTACAGGATGTTATAGAATCACCTCATTATTCTGAAAAGTGATAAAGAGAAAGAATCAAGCATTTACTCTTTTTTTCTTTTAATTATATCACTGGGTAAGCACAAAGTAAATCTGGGGAAGGGATTATTAAGAAGAAATGAGAGAGGGGCTGAGATGTGGCTCAAGCGGTATCGCGCTTGCCTGGCATGCGCAGGGCGCTGGGTTCGATCCTCAGCACCACATAAAAATAAAAAAATAAAGATGTTGTGTCCACCGAAAACTAAAAAGTAAATATTCAAAAAAAAAGAAGAAATAAGAGAACTACAGTATCATGTTTCAGCCCCAAATGATCTAAGGATCTGGGCATTACATGTCAGTGGCTGCTAACATCCCCAGGAGAGAGAGAGCCATACAACTCTCAATCAATCCTGCACCTGTTGAGGCCTCTTCTAGACCCAATTCAATGGATGGAAATACAGAGAACAGAGGAACATGTAAAATCCATTCAGCAAAATCCATTCTTTCAGAATTCCACAGAAAAATTACTCAGTTCTTGTACCCAAAAATGTTTGAAGTACCAGTGGGAAAAGCCACTGGAAAAGAAACTTGTGGATTAAGAGTCAAAAAAGACATCCACTAATTGCCATGTGCAGACCTGATATGAATCCTAGAATGTAAAGAAAAGCAAGTGCTTATAAAACCTGTGAGATTCATAAGGCAAGTAAAAATAGGAACACTGAATATATATGTGATGATAAGGAACTTTTAGTTTTTAGGTGTAACAATGGTATTATAATTTTTAAGGGTCCTTGTCATTTAGAGCTATAAACCAAAATATTATGGAAGAAGTGATATGATGCCTATATTTGCTTCAAAACAGTATGAGGAGTAGAAGTGAGAGGGGCATAGATGGGACACGGCATGAGTTGCGCTCTGGGTGATAGGTGCATGGGAGTTTGCTTTAATATTCTGTCTCCATTTTGGAAATGTTTGAACTTTCCCAGTATCTTCCCTCTCCAGTGTGTGGACCTAATAGACTGACATTTCCTCTTTGTTGCCATGCAGTGCTCCAAGAGCTGCCAGGGTGGCTTCCGGGTCCGGGAAGTGAGGTGTCTGTCAGATGATATGACCCTAAGTAATCTCTGTGACCCTCAGTTGAAACCAGAAGAGAGAGAATCTTGTAACCCCCAGGACTGTGTCCCTGAAGTTGGTAAGTCCCCTAAGTTCCTGTCTTAGAGAAAATGTTCAGCCAGGTATGGTGGCACACACCTGTAATCCCAGCGGCTCGGGAGGCTGAGACAGGAGGATCGCAAGTTCAAAGCCAGCCTCAGCAATGGTGAGGTGCTAAACAACTCAGTGAGACCCTGTCTAAATAAAATACAAAATAGGGCTGGGGATGTGCTCAGTGGCTGAGTGTTCCTGAGTTCAATCCCTAGTACCACCACACCGCCCGCAAAAAAAAAAAAAAAGAGAGAGAGAGAAAATATTCATCTTTCTTAAATTCTGAAAATGCCAAACTGATGTAGGTGTGTCTATGACCTCATACAGTCATGGAATTCAGGGGTCAAAATACTCTTGACATTATAAGTTAAAGGGTTTAAGATAACTATTCACAGCATGAATGGCTATCCCAGCCAAAAGAAAAACATTAGTGTGAATTCATTAACTTTATAGTGCATCCAAAGATTTAGTTCTTTCTTCTTAATGTCAAAGTAGTAAAATTTCCAACTTTTAATTGTATATGCAAATCAGTATTGCTTGTCCATAAAGAGGAATGCTGAGACCTCACAGCAGCTTGGTTGAGAATGGAGGAAGGGGAGATTCAAGAACAGATAGAGACAGTGATGGAGAGTCCAACCTGATGTCTGCATGGCACAGTCCAGAATCTCAAATCAAGAATGAAGAGATTCCAGTGGGAGAGTTAGCCACCACATGGCTGGAGTCCTGCAGGGAACGACAGCCCTGCAATTCAGGAGGCCCCACCCAACCTATAACCTAGAAATTGGGTCAGGTTCCCTGGGGTGTGTTCATGAGGAATGGTCCCAATCCTTGTAGAACTGAATTACAGTGAGAAAACTAAGGAAGGTAACTTACATATCTACTGGACAAAAGAAGGTGTGAGGTGGGTGAAGATGCAGCTCCAGAGGCATACTGGATGCCCCCAACCCCCACCCCCACAGTCTACTCAGAATATGTTGCCAGGCTTGCCAGGACTGGCTCCAGAATAGAAATGTGCTGAGCTTTTATTATTCAGATGATGATGATGATGATGATGATGATGATGATGATGATTCAGCTTTTCACTGCTGTGATCAAAATGCCTGATAAGAACAATTTAGAGGAGGAAAAGTTTACTTGGGACTCTCGGTTTCAGAGTTTTTTCCATGGTCAGCTGACAGAACATCATGGCCAAAGAGCATGGAGGCAGAAAGCTTCTCAGCTCGTGGCAGCCAGGAAACAGAGCAAGGAGCCAGGGACAAATATATCATCCCAAGGGCACCCCCCCCCAATGACCTACTTCCTCCAGCCATGCCCCACCTGCCTACAATTACCACCCAATAATTCATTCAATTTATCAATCAATCAAATAGATTAATTCACTGATTGGCACAGCTCTCATAATCTGATTATCTCACCTCTGAACGTTCCTACTTTGCCTGTCATGTGAACTTATTGGGGGATACCTCATATCTACATCATAACGCCCTATTAAGGTCTGGATCTGGAATGTTCCCCAAAGGCTCATGTGTTAAACACTTGGACCCCAGTGCATCACTGTTCAGAGGTGGAGTTTTGGAGAAGTGAATGGATCCTGAAGATTCTGACCTCATTTGTAGATTAACCCATTGTTGAATTCATAATCTGAATGGACTAATGGGAGGTGGTGGAAACTGTAGGAGGTGAAGTCTAGATGGAGGGAGAGGGTCTTTGGAGGTGTGGGGATGACATCTTGTCCCTGACCCCTTCCTTCCTCTCTGTTTCCTAGCTGCCATGAGTTGAGCAGCTTTCCTCCACCACGCCCTTCCACTCTGATGTTCTTCCTCCCCTCAGACCCAAAGCAATGGAGTCAACCAACCATGGACTGATACCTCTGAAACTGTGAACCAAAATACACATTTCCTCCTTTAAGTAGTTCATGTCAGGTATTTTGGTCACATGGAAGAAAAACTGACTAACTCTAACCCCCTTTGTTAGAATTCTTCAGGGTCCCTAGGTACCTATTTACTCTCCTCATCATCATAGTAACATTAAAGGGAACATGGTAATGTATCAGTAGGCTGTCATGCCTAAGGCCCTGGGTTCAATTCCCAGGACCAGACGGAGAAAGAGAGAGATTTACTTATATCCCATTTGGGAGTCTCAAAGCTGAGCTCCTGCATTGGCTCAGTTTGAGTGATGGTCTTCTTGGTAACAAAGTCCCAAGACAGCACATGGCATCACGACGTGGCAAGAGACAGGGAGCACACCATCTCTGGTCTCTGTGCCTCTTCTTATAAAGCCACCAGGATTCATTCATGGGACTCCATCCTGATTACCTTTTCCAAGTCTAATCACTTTCCCAAGACCCAATCTCTAAACACCATAGCCAGATCAAGTTTCCACCCTCTCGATACCATTATGATCCTGGGGGTTAAACATCTGCAACAGGGTGGGGACAAGCCATATTCAAACCATGGCATTTCTCCATTTATTTATACATGTTATAAAGCTACAAAAACTAAAACTATATAGTACTGTTACTGGCAGAGACAGCCAACTGTTACACCACAGAATTCTGAAACAGACTTTTTTATCCAAGGGAAATTAACTAGGATAATGGTTGAAAGTTAATTGAGGAAAGGAGAAACTTCCATTGTATTGAGACAATTTTTTTTTATTAAACAAGACACCTTAAATCTTACATCATGCCATATACAAATAAATACAAGTGCCCAATAGATTAAAGAGCCTAACAGAAAACACTATAAAAATGCTAGGAAAAAAAAATGGGCTGGGGTTATGTCTCAGAGGTAGAACACTTGCCTCGCATGCATGGGGCACTGGGTTCAATCCTCAGCACCACATAAATAAATAAAATAAAGGTATTTTGTCTATATACAACTATAAATTTTTAAAAAATTAAATGCTAGGAAAAAAACTATATATAGCTTGGAATTGGTTAAAGCCTTCATAAGCTAAACCCAAAACCCCAGATGTTATTGCTAGTTATGGGAACACAATAAGTTAAAAGCTGTTTTCCTGTTTAGGATGTCATAGCCCAAGTTGGAAGGAAGGAAGGAAGGAAGGAAGGAAGGGGAAAACAAAGAGGGAGAGGAAGAGAATAGGAAAGATCATGAGAAAATATCCAAAACACATTTTAGGAGAATGTGTTACCATCAGTGTAAAACACAATGTCCAGCCAGGAAGCTGAGGAACAAGTTTGATATAATTACTGTGGCCAATTTGTGCACACACACAAACATGTTCACTTGCATTGGCAATACCACGAGTTGAAAACTTAATTTAAATTTGGATCACAAATTGTCCCTCACGTTGTTTTTTTAAGGTCATATTATAATGCAATATTGAAAAGAATACTTGTATATGTTAAGTTGCCTGCTTGTCTCAGGCACATGGATATGGATAATTAAAAACAGTTTGAATTGCCAGATCCTTGGAATTGCTTATGCAGGTTTCAAAATCAGGAATGATTGGCATAAGAAAGTCATCTGTTCTGAAGGCCCGTCACTCAGCTGACACACATTTGGCAAAGGTTTCCAACTAATAAGATGTGATATGAATTTTTGTTTTACCCCTCCAATTTGTTCATTTATTTTTGCCTATGGTGTCTTTTCAATGGGGAAAAAGTATTTAGTTGTTTACCAATTATGTAAAATCCAATTAAGGGAAAAGGGAACTACAAGATTAACAAAATAGGGCTGGGGCTGTGGCTCAGCGGTATCGGACTTGCCTGGTATGTGTGAGGCACTGGGTTCGATTCCCAGCACCATATATAAATAAATAAAATAAAGGTCTATCAACAACAACAAAAAGTCCTATTTAAAAAACAAAAAAGATTAACAGCAGGAACAGGATGAAAAGCCACATCCACAGCCCTTCCTCTTTCCACTGGACCAGGCTGCCTCTTGAGCTCAGGAGTCTTGTGTTCTCTCTCCCGCTACAGATGAGAACTGCAAGGACAAGTACTACAACTGCAACGTGGTGGTCCAGGCGCGCCTCTGTGTCTACAACTACTACAAGACCGCCTGCTGTGCCTCTTGCACTCGTGTGGCCAATAGGCAGGCCGGGTTCCTGGGGAGCAGATAACATCCCGCATCGCATCTCGTCAGCAGGGCAGCATCCCTGCCCTCCCGGGGGCTGTAAGCAATGTGCCTGGCTGGCTCCCTGGCCCAGGACACTGACAGTCAACTTCATCACCACCCTTGCCTTTGGTCAAGTGTAACCAGGAGCTTTGTGCCCTGGATGTTAGAAAGCCACAGTGGGTCCTTTAATCATCGTCATACACTGATGACACCTCCCTTGAGACCTGGCATCTGCTAACGGTGCTCTCTGAAAACCAAGCCATGGGAAACTCCGTAGCTCTCAGCCCAACTCCTGCCCTGGTGCTTTGCACGTAAGCAGACAGGCCACTAACCAAGCACTGCCTCATCCCTGGTGTGACTGGCCTTCCAAAATTAGCATCCTTGGACAGTCAGAGGCAGCGCTCCGTCCCAAAGACCCGCCAAGCCTTGCTGAGACCTGTGCACCCTCTGTCACCTCAGCCTGGCTGTGCCTGTTTTCATTCTCAAAGACATTAGACTGTTCTGCTGCCTTATGACACAGATATCTCACATTAATGTAGTGCTTCATTGTTTAGCAGGCGTATTCACAGATATTAGTTCATTAGTCGTCACAACGTCCCAGAATGGGAAGCAGGGGATAAATAATCGTCCCACTTTATTGACAAGGAAATATCTGAGGCTCAGCTCAGGTCATTGACCTGCCATTCCGTGGCAGAACTGAGTGCCTGTTCCAATCGCCTGCACATGACCCTTACCCAACCGCACCTCTACCACTATAGAGGTCTTAGGTGTGAAGGATGCAGCTTCATTTCTAACCAAAAGCCTGAAATTTCCACCAGCAACAAATTGAATTCTTTCCTCCACCTGGAGGTCAAGTCCTCATCCCCAGGATTCAGATTTCTGTTTCCATTTTCCCCACAAAGTCACAGGCCCTAGTGACAGGACTCTGCAGGTTTGGGCTGAACTCCACCCTCAGCAGAACTGTCCCATGAGACAAGAAAGCTAGAGGGAGAACCAGGTGATTGCCTGGGATTCTGGCTCCATTTCAAGTTGACAAGTCCCTCTGGCCATGGGCCTTCCATGTGGCAAAGCAGATTCCCAAGGCCCACAGCTCTGGGCTCTGGGCTCTGGGCTCCTGCCTTCCTCAGCCATCTCTCCCGTGCTCTTCACCACCTAGTAGAAAGTCGAGCGGGTAGGTCCCCCAAAAAACATCTAAATCACATGACTCCCAATCCTTACCTCCTCCCAGACTTGACCAGGAAGACCCTTACCTGTGCAGCCAGCCTGGGAAAAGGAGCGGTGAAGCCCCTCCCATATTCCTGACCCACTTTATCCAACTATGTAGTTCCAGAGGCCTCACGCCTGCAGCAAGGTGTAGCACATATTGAAAGATGAACCAACTGAAAAACCACTTAAGAGCAACATTTTCTTTTCTTTTATCCATTAAGAAAGGTATCAAGCTAAATAACTGTAAACTTATAGAAAATGTCTCTTATTTTTGGCCCTGGGCATGTTACTCTTGTAAAGCAAGCCTGTATTTTTAGCAACTGAGTTTCTCCCATGAGCTCTTTTACCTGGAACTCTGCCAACTTGATGATTATTTGCAGCTTTGGGAGGTGATATCACCAGCCTGGCCCAGCACATGCCACTAGGATTCCCACCAGCCTTGGGCCTTCTGAGGGTCCCTCCCAGCTCCGCTTCCTGGAGAGCACAGGCACCACTTCCCACAGCATCTCCATCTCCCCTGATGCTCATGTGACTCCTGCAGGTCCACAGCCCAGCAGAAGCCCAGCCTGCCCTGCTGACCAAACGAAAAGAGATGTGAGAAGCCACATATATGGACAGTTTCTGTCCAGTGCCTTCTGTTTCCCTCTTGCCACTTGCTTTTTCTTCTTGTCACAGGGAAGTTTTTTCTATAATGCAGCTGCTTCCAGATATCGCTAAACAAGCTGGTCATTTGAAAGATTGTCTGGAAGAGGTTTTCTTTACATGCTGGAGTCAGGACAGAATGGAAGAGAGGAAGGCTGACTTTTAGCTCCAGTGAGGGAAAATGTTCTAGCCATCAAAGCTGCCCAACAGAGGCATGGGCCACCACACCCCATGGTCTCTCTGTTCCCAAAGGGACTTCTCTATCAAGTAGAAGGAAGGGGCACATGCTGGTCCTTCCAACTCAGGAATCTCATGACCAGGTGAGGTCAACATGGCTTTGTCCCTTTGACATGAAATAGCGTCCTGTGATCCTGAATGTTACCTAACGGTTCCTTCAAAGGACTATGATCCTCTCACAATAATGGCCAGGTAGGAACAAAGGGACATGTCTTCCAGGAAAAAGGGCACCTCAGCAAGGGGTCTTTTTATTCTTACAACAAACAACTGAGATGTTCTTGGAGTTTGTTAGTCTTTGGAAGGTTGTAGATTATAGAACAGAGGGTTTGTTGACATTTTTGTCTTAGAAAGCCAATTATTCGGGTATCCAAATGCCCTTCTCCATCGCACAACCCATGCAGTCAGACTGTTGGGTGTTTTCAGACCACTTTCCTGGGAGGAAGTCTGAGAAAAGCCCACCTTGGGATGACCCTCTCCCTCCAGCTGGCTCTGTCTGCTTCCTCTGTCCCCATTTTTTTCACCCTCTCCTTTTATTATCTGCCATCTCCTTCTCAGGTCTCTCCATTTTTCCTACCTTGCCATAATGTGGTATTGAAATTTTTATCTTAACAGGTTTTTTTTCTGTGCATTGGATTGCCCCATTTCATGATCTGAGTTTTTTAATTAGATAAACTAAAGCTATGATATGTTTTTCTCGCAAAAAAAGCAAAACTTCCAACAAAAGTAGTTTGCTTTGTTTCTTTCACTATCAGAAAAGGAAATGGTGCCTCTTGCTGCCCTAGGTAGAAGCCAACCCCACCTATCCATCCTCCACGTTCTCACCACCACCTGGAGTTCTTGCCACAGAAAAGGGACCTCATAATAACACTAACAAGACACCTTGTCAACCCGGCCACTAGAGGGCATCAGTTCCCTTCATTAAGCCATAGCTGTCAGCTGGTGAGAAACCACAGTGAGGGAGACTCCTTTCAGCTCTTGGGAGTCACAAGAGCCACTGTATGGCAGGCATGCTCAGAACTGCCCTATCTGTCCTTTTGTCTCACTTCTCTGGCCCAGAGTTCAATGGATATTGTTTTTTCTTTGTCCTTCCACTTAATCTCAAAGTGTTTAGGTTCAGCACTTTTTGTTTTAGAAAGTGTGGCTTTATAAAGGAGTAAAAGGGACACCAACCTGGCTTATTTTCATGGAGCTGTAAGGCAGAGAGAGAAATCTAGATATTGCCTTTCCAGGCCACTATTACTGAGCATGGTGGCTCATGCCTATAATCCCGTGACTCAGGAGGCTGAAGCAGGAGAATCTCAAACTCAAGCCAGCCTTCCTAAGCAACTGTCTTTTTTTTTTTTTTTCATTAATACACCTATTTTAGAGTTGAAATATCAATTTCTAATGTGGAAGAAAATATAAATGTAAGACAAGCTGAACGATTGTATCAGCTTGGAAGGCAGAGACCAGCATTTGATCCCTTGCCATACAAGACATGTTTTAATATGACTTAGGAAAATAGATGCCCTACCAATAGAAATTGGGGATAACATGAAATTGTGGAGCTAATGGCTTGGGTAACAGGTTCTGAATCAAATAAGATCAGGGAAGCTAGAATAAATCCCAAAGCTTCACAAGTCAGTAGGAAGCAACATAAAGGTTTACATTTGGATTTTTTTTTTTTTAACTACACAAGTAACAGGTGCAAGAGATGTAAGAGTTTCAGGTAACTCAGCTCAGTGTATTGAGAAAGCAGGAGAAAGCCACCAAAAAAAAATAAACAAAACTTAAAATACATTTAGACTATGCAAGGAGAAAACATGGACGAGAGTCAAACCCCGTTTTGTCTGTGATCATTGGAGCCATGCTTTAGGAAGACAGTTGATCACGTGTAACATTCAGATGAGAATGTCCAGTCCAAGTGAAGAGTGCAGATGATCAGAAACAGCAGAAAGGACCTCCTGAGAACGTGCAGCCTGGAGCAGAGACTCAGGCACCAGGAAAGTCATCTTAGGACAAGGAGGTACAAGTTGCAGGGAGCCAGATTTTAACTCTTGCAGGAAAACCAACTGTCCACAAGTTGGATCCTGCTGAAGGCAGAGGGATTCTAGGAAAGGTGGTGACTGACCCGTCATGGAGGTATCAGCAGAGGCCAAATGGCCATGTGTTGGGCTGCAGGAGAGGGATTCAGACATCTGGCTGGGCACCATGATGTTCAAGGTCATTTTCAGGTCTGAGCTTTGGTGATTCTGTAAGAAGCACAGTTTTCTCTAATCCATCTGTTCTGGGATGGCAAGTGCACTGCCTACATACTTCCCCTTCCTGACTTTTGCCACCCTGTCAGCCATTTCAAGCTCGCCAGTACACCGCTCCCCTGAGCTGGTTGTGGCCTTGTATCTCAGAGCATCGTTAACAACATGGTCAGCGTTGCCTCATCTGGTCCTGTGCCACAGAGGAGTGTGCAGGCATGCTGTGACCCTAGCTGCCTCTCTGGGATCACACATGTTGATGGAGGCTGAGCCTCCTCCTGGCTGGGCTCCTTTACCTAACAGAACTCTCTTACCTCCTCTGATTTCTTGCACCTTTGCTGGTGCAAAGTAATTCTGTCCACCCTGAACCATCTGTCCCCCATTCCTGGTCCTATCCAACTCCCATCATGCCATGGAAAAATGACCACGAGATGGTGGAAACTTCCAGCCAACCTTCTCAGCATCTTCCGGACAATGAGTCCCTCACCTCAGTGAGAGGAAACCCATTCTGTTACACAAACTAACTCCCACATGCCTTGACCCCCAGCTCCCCGCCATCCAGTTTGACAGAAGGATATAATTTGTTATAACTTATTATTTTGTTCTTTGTAAATACAAAATGTTTATAGGAAATATGTATTCTGAACTCTATGTGCAGAATGAGTCACTACACCAAAATAGTTCTATTATTTAGAGTATGTTAATTTTAAAGGGACCTAATAGGTATTTATTTACATATGCCATCCACATTTTGTGTAAGATCATTTGATCATACTAACCCAGTTCCCTGGAATGTTGCACACAATAATGCCTAAGAGATTCTAAGTCCATTTTTTACAATTGTTTAGTATACTGATTAGCCAAACTCCTTGGGGTTTAAGGTCAAGTATAAACTGCTCCACTTTTTGACTCGTTCAAGGGACTTTTACCCCTGGTATTGTACCTGAACCGGATTGCCACCTTTCTGTCTTAAATATTATATTTCCTCATATAATCTGCTCTCTCCTCATCCCCCAACATTTGGAGAAGGACATGTGTCTTGTCCTTCTCGTTCTTTCTTTGTTGCCTTCTCTGTTAGGCTCACCAGCATCTGTTGCTCAGGAGGACTGGTCAGAGCTGGGAAGGAGGAGGGTCGCCTGGCAGGATGTGGTAGCCTCCTCATTTCTGATGACACCTCCACAGTCCCTGCTGGGGACTGCTGGGGC